AAAGGAGACCTCACAACTGTACGACTACTATTGAAGAACAACACAGATGTGAATCTTCCCAACGATCACGGCAATACCCCATTGATGTGGGCATCGATCAACGGCAATCTTAAAATTGTCAAAGAATTATTAAAGAACAACGCAGATGTAAATTTAGTCAATAACATCGGCGACTCTGCTTTAATACTTGCATTGTACCAAGGACATCTTGCAATTGCACGAGAACTGCTGAAAAACAACGCCGAAGTCAATCAAACAAATAAATATGGCAACACAGCGCTAATATGGGCATCACATGGAGGACATCTCGACATCGTCCGAAAACTATTGAAGAACAATGCTAAGGTGAATATCCAGAATGATAACTTGGATACACCGTTGATATTAGCATCGGGTGAAGGACATCTTGAAACTGTCAAAGAATTATTAAAAAATGAAGTAGAAGTAAACCTGGCTAATAATGAAGGTTATACTGCATTGATGTTAGCATCTTGCAACGGACATATAGAAATTGTTCAATTGTTATCAAAAACTAACGCAGAAATAAACCAAGCTGATAAAGAGGGTAAAACATCATTGATGATGGCATCTTCCGAAGGACACCTAGAGGTTATCCAAAAACTATTGAAGAAAGAAGCAGATGTAAACCTAACTGATAAAAAAGGCTGGACAGCATTGATGCAAGTATCAAATAAAGGTTATGTTGAAATAGTAGAAGAATTATTAAAAAACAACACAAATGTTAATCACGTTGATAAAAAAGGAAAAACATCATTAATGTTAGCATCATCAAACGGACATCTTAAAGTAGTAGAAGAACTACTCAAGAATAACGCAGATGTGAATCAAGGTGATAAACATGGAAACACTGCGTTGATGTGGGCATCTGGCCGAGGGCATCTTCAAATCGTTCAAGAACTCATCAAAAACAACGCAGAAGTAAACCTAGCTGATAAAGATGGCAACTCATCATTGATGTTGGCATCGTGTGGAAAACATCTCGATGTCCTACAAGAATTGTTAAAAAATAACGCTGATGTGAATCAGGGTGATAAAAATGGCGACACAGCATTAATCTTAGCTTCTGGTGGAGGACATTTACAAATTGTAGAAGAATTGTTGAAGAACAACGCTAAAGTAAATCTAGGTAATAACAAAGGTATCACGCCGTTGCTATGGGCATCATGTGGGGGACATCCTGAAATCGTCGAAGAATTGTTGGAGAATAAAGCAGATATAAATCAAGTTGATCAAGGTGGAAACACAGCGTTAATAGCAGCATCATTCTTAGGACATCTGGAAATTGTTCAAGTACTTTTGAAGAACAATGCTGATGTTAATGTGGCTGATCAGAATGGAGAGACTGCTTTGATGTATGCATCCTGTGGAGGACATTTTGAAATTGTTCAAGAATTGTTGAGGAATAGAGCTGATATTAATTTAGTTAATAGGGATGGGAAGACAGCGTTGATGTTGGCGTCGAAAAAAGGGCAGATTAAGATTTTGCAAGAGTTATGGAAGAGTAA